AGGCCTCTAGGAGATCGACCTGCGCGACAACCAGCTGGGCTCCGCCGACAAGAACGAGGTAAGGTGCGCGCACAGGTGGAAGCAGGTGCTCCTCGACTGGGACCTACCCTCGCCAACGTACATGGCCGACACCCAGCCGCACATCAACGCCCGGATGCGCTGCATCCTTCTTGATTGGCTGACGGATGTTTTCGCCAGCTCCCTCCACACGCCGGTGTCGGACCGAGCTTTCAACCCGCCAGAGCTGTTCCGGACCTTCAGCATCGTGGACAGGTATTTGAGCTGATGGGCTTGTTGTCCACCACCACCACGAGTTGGAGGGGGGAAGGAGGTGGAGGAAGAAGAGGAGGAATAAGTGGAGGAAGAAGAAGAGGAGGAAGGAGGAGGAAGAAGTGGAGGAAGAAGAGGAGGAAGAAGAGGAGGAAGGAGGAGGACGTCCCCTCCCCCTCCCACTTCTGGTGGTGGCGGTGGAGAACGAGCCCACCATGAGCCGGCGGTCAGTCGCGAGGGCCCAGCTGCAGCTGGTCGGAGCTGCCTGCGCGTTCGTGGCGGCGAGGCACGGCGAGCCCGGGAGCGACGGCGAGCCCGAGGCGCTCGAGAGCGCCGGGCGGCTGGTGAGCGTGAGCGACAACGCGTTCACGGACGCGGAGCTCCTGAAGATGGCAGGGGACAGCTCAGGGGCAACGATCAGGGGGGATAGGCATAGGGGTCGGGGGTGGACAGACCTCCCACCCTGAAACGTCGATTCAGGAATTGGCCGTTTTCGGTTCGCGAGAGGGTGTCGCGGCCGTCATTTTTGCGGGTCCAGGTCCGTCGGTTCCGGTCCTAGGCCGTTTTCACTGAAGGGAGATTTACTAAAGGGAGGTTTGGCCACCGCCGAGGCATCGGGGGGGATGTATCGACCCCCGATCGCCCACCGATCGCCGACAGAGGTCCGATGGCCTTCGCCTGCCCAGGGAGGGTGCGGACTCGCTATCGGGGCCCTATCGCCAAGCTGTCGCCGATCCGTCGCCGAGTCCAGGTCGGTGCATCCCCCATTGCCAGTGCTAGGGGAACAAAAAGTGACATAAGCATAAATACTCGGAGGTCCGCGCGGATTTCTCGGATCCGCGCTGGACCCCCCTGGCGGCGCCTCTGGCGCCGCCCCTGGCGCGCTCCGCGCGCCAGGGAGAGGGGGTCCAGCGCCGATCCGAGAAATCCGCGCAGACCTCGGAGTTGTTATTTTTATGTCGCTTTTTGTTCCCCTAAGTGCCCCCCGATCGTTGCCCCTCAACATCAGGGAGGTGCTCGAGAACGAGTTGGACCAGCCTACTGTCTATTCCGGAGGCCTGCGCCAGTCTGCCAGCCCGCAAGGAAGGGTTTGACATGTTGGTTGGATGGGAAGCAGGAGGAGGAGGAGGAGGAGGAGGAGGAGGAGGAGGAGGAGGACGTGGAGGGGAAGGAGGGCGAGGACCAGGAAGGGGCCTCTTGTGGCATCTGGATGGCTTTTTGAGGTTGCTTGGGGGTCTCTGGGGCGTCTCTTCAGGGCCTCTGGGAGGGCTCATGGAGGCCTTTGGGCGCCTCTTGGGGACGCCTCGGGGACTTCGGGGCGGCTCCTGGGGCCATCTTGTGGTGAAAGACTCGAATATTAGTTCGTATTCCCATTGTTGAGCCCCTCCTGGGGTCTCTTCGGTGCCTCTTGGGCAATGTTGGGCGGCTTTTGAGCCGTCTTAGGACCTTCTTGGCCCGTCTTGGGGGTTTATTCGGGGCATCATGGGCCGTCTGTGGACAGTCTTGGGAGCCTTTGGGGCCATCTTGCATGGTGTCAAGACGTAGAAGGCGAGTAGGCCAACCATGTAAGTTTCGCGATCAGAATGGAACGATGTCTGCTTCTTGGGGCCTTCCTCGGCGGTCTTCTTGGAAAACATGGGGGCCTTCTTGGAAGCCTCGTGGGCCGTCTCCCCTCTTTGACCGTCGTAGGGTTACCTGAGGCTGTCTCGACGCTCTCTGGGACTGTCTTGGCGCTCGGTTCGGGCTGTCTGGGACAGTCGCAGGGCTTGCTGGAGGCTCCGGAGGCCCCAGGGGTGCGTTGGCGAGCTCGCTCAACCCCCCCTGAAACAGGATTTTCGGATGTGGATAGACCTCCTGCCCTGACACGTCGATTAGCGAATTGGCCGTTTTCGGTTCGCGAGGGGGCGTCGCGGCCGTCATTTTTGCAGGTCCAGGTCCGTCGGTCTCGGTCCCAGGCCGTTTTCACTAAGGGGAGGTTTCCTAAAGGGAGGTTTTGCCACCGCCGAAAATGTCTCACACGCCTTTCCACCCCCGACAAGCAGGGGTCAGAGCCCTGTGCCACGCCGCCGTCCCCCGGCAGAGCGTGGGCACCATCGCAAGAGAAAGCAGTCGTCGCAGGGGTTAACGCAACCATGCGTATCGGGTCGGGCGAAAGGGGGGGGGTGGGAAAGGGGGGGTTACGAAATCTGCTGCATGCAGCTGGTTTCGGCCTCACCGATGGGCCCATTCCTCGATACATGGGCGCCTCCAGCGCCGGGAGGCGCCGGGAAAATCAGCTACGTGAGCTGATTCTCAAACCCCCCCTTTGCTATCCCCCCCTTTCGCCCGACCCGAGCGTAGCCGCAGCCCCCCGGCTTCCCCCCCGCCCCTCCCTCGACCCTCCCCCCCCTCTGCCGCCTGTCCCTGCCGCTGGGCTTCTCCGAGGGGTAAAAAAAAGTGCGGCGTTGGCGCGCCGGCGACACCGGCGAAGGCGTTCAAGGTTGACTTCTGCGGCGCGGGAGCACCGAGGGATGCGGCAACGCCATGGGGCCCGACGGAATTCTACCTTGAGAACGATCGTGGCCGCGATCGGTCCAGGGTTGAACGACCGATGCGGTGTCAAAAACCTTTGCGTGAGCCAACGCTGCGCGAACCTACCGTAAGCATCTAGCCCGGGTGCTTGCGGCCACTATCTTCGTTGCGCCAGCACAGGATTCTGTTTGGCGAGCGTCGCAGAGTCGATGCAATTGCTGAGCCCGCACATCGGGGGTTGCGGCGGGTCCCCCGGGTGGGAGGGGGACACCAGCACGCACGTCTCCGAATCAGTGAGTCTTCAGGAGAAGGGCGTGGGGCCCCAAGGGAGCATCACATGTCCCCACCTAGGGAGGGGTGTCGGCCAGTGGAACCGCGGCCGCGCCAGTGAGGATGGGGACCAGTTAAACGATGCTTTATCCTGGGGTCGTCTCGGTGTCGTCTTGTGGCCGTGTGGGAAGCTCGTTGAGAGCCTCTGACCCCATCTTGGGGGCATATTTTGCCGCCTCAGGGTCTTCTAGGGGCCTCTACACTGGTACCTTTTTGAGTCGGACAGTGGTGCATACCTGAATTGAGCGAACAGATTCCTGACGCTTCGCGTATCACCACCAGCCCATCCAAAGCCGAGTTACTGATCTCTTGGCCTCATGTCGGCGTTGCAAATGCATACGGTGCAATAGACACCTTGAATGCTTTTGTCGGGGATGCGGGGATGGCGGCGACATTTGTTGTATTAGTCGAGATGTATCGGCTGGCCACGTTTATTTCATCGGGGGGGCGGCCCCGATGCGGGATCCCACAATGTTGCCAACGCTTTTCCGAACGGGTTTGCAGAACCATCATATAGGTTTGCCCCGAAGGAGAGAGGAGGAGGAGGAGGAGGAGGAGGAGGAGGAGGAAGAGAAGGAGGAGCAGCAGCAGCAGCAGGAGCAGGAGGTGGAGCTGGAGCAGAAGCAGGAGGAGGCGGAGGAGGAGGAGAAGGAGGAGCAGGAGGAGGAGCAGCAGGAGGAGGAGGAGGAGGAGGAGGGGGAGGAGGGGGAGCGAGGAGCGAGGAGGAGAGGTCCTGGTGATCCTTGGGGCCTCTTCGAGCATCTTTGGAGGGGCCTCTTGGAACCTCTTTGGTCTCTCGTGGGCGCCTCTTGGGGGGGGGGCCTTTTGATGGCCTCCCTGGTGGTGCTGGGGCGCCTCCCTCGTGGTGCTGGGCGTCCCTTTTTGGCTCTCTTGGGGCCACCTTGGATGAGATCGATCAAAGTTTTGGGGGGGGGGAATCGGTTGAGGCCCCCTCCCTCGGAAGCTCAAGGATGGCCTCTTAGGGGGCCTCTCGGGCCGCTCTCGGGCGCCTCTTGGGCGCTCTTGGGGCAGCCTTGGGTCTCCCATGGGCCGCTCTGGGGCTACCTTGGAGCCATGATGAGGCCCAAGATCGGGGGTGGACAGAACCACCAACAGTGACACGTCGATTAGTGACTTGTCCGTTTTCGGTTCTCGAGAGGGCGCCGTGGCCGTTATTTTCCAGGCTTGCGCCCGCCAGGTTTGGGTCTCAGGTCGATTTCACTAAACCACGTTTTACCAAGGGGGGTCTGTCCATCCCCGACAAGAAGATCTTCTGAAGCGAACAAGCGAGAAGCCCAAACACCTTGATTGCCCTTAGGTTTTCGAAGGATGTTGGCCTCTTGGAGGTGCCTTGGGAGGCGGGAGTAGCACTTAGAACCCTCTCGGGGCTGTCTTGGGGTGTCGTGGAGGCTTGTCGGAGGCTATCTTGAGCGATGCTGCGCCATCTTGAGCCATCTTTGAGGCCCTCTTGGGCTGCCGAGCGCCCTCTTGGGCCATCTTGGACGCTTTACTCATGGCGGCCCCTCCCCTTCCAGGCTCAGGGGAGGGGGTAGGGGGGAGGGTTAAACCCTTTCCCCCGAGCAGGGGAAGCAGGGGTTGTGGCAGAGAACCGAGAACAACTCGTTAAACCACTCATTTTAGAGGGCTGGTGGGATTGTCTGTAGCATTTGTTTGCTTCTTCTGGGCCGTCTTGGGCAGTCTTGGGCCATTTGAGTGCCCTTGGAGTCTTTGGCTTTGTGGGGTGGACATCAGGGTGCTAGGAAGTGCGCTCTCTGCGGCCAGGCTCGGGGAGGGGACCAGCCAACCGCCTCACGTGCCCTGTCACCCCCGGCAGGCGGGTGCCGGCGGACACCCTCCTGCTGCGGTACCTGGTCCGCACCGGCTGGCGGATGAGAGGGCTGCTGCTGTCGGAGTACCTCCTCCACCTCGCGGCGCTCAGCTACCCGCTGCTGGCCTACCCGCCCCAGGTGGTGGTGGCGGCGGTGGTGGCGATCACGCACAGCACCCTCGGAGAGGCCTCGGGCGCCGTCGCCGGCTGGCAGCAGCGGCTGCTGCGCTGCGCGCGGGTGGCGCAGGAGGAGGTCGCGCCCTGCCTTCGGGCGGCGGCTCTGCTGCACGCCTGCGCACGCGGGGGGAGCCCGGCGCTGAAGGGCCACGGGAAGCTGCTGGCGGCCTTCCGGAAGTTCTCGAGGCGAGACATGCAGGAGTCGCCATTCGTCGGAAATTGGAACATGTACATTACCAGCGGCGGGCTGTTTTTCAGTCCCAGTATTTCTTGGGGGTCGAGGACGACGCTGGGGTGGTGTGGTGTATACTTGTTCCCCGATGTTTCGGGGAAACAACGAAACATCTATACACCAGGGTCCCGTATACACCAGTATCCGCTCTCCAGTGTAAATTCGAATGCAGGGCCGGAAGAAGCGTCGGTGTATAGAGTTCGATTCCTTAATTCGGGTGTTCCTAGAAGTGCCCCTGGGCCAAGGTCCTCAGGGTGCCCCCAGGAGTTCTGGGGTAGCCCAAGCGGCCTCAGGAGCACCCCTCACGAGGCCAGAGGGCCCCAGGGGCTCCAAAATGAAGCCAAAAGCTCGGGGCACCTTGGGCCAGGAGTACTTCTAGACTTCTAGCAACACCCGAGCCATGGAGCAAAGCAGGATTTTCGACATTGTTTGTTTTTGTGCGTGTGTGAGTGTGTGTGTGTGTGTGAGTGTGTGTGCGTGTGTTCGGTCCTGGTTCTTTGTCCTCAACTTCGGTCCTCGAGGGCCATCTTCGAGCCCCTGCGGCCACCAAACACATGTCTGGGACGACAAACTTCAGGAGAGAAACAATTATCCCAGTGCGACCCTACCTTGGAGTTGGAGCCTCTACGTGCGCACACACACATATAAGTATATATAGCAGCAACAGCAATAGTGGATGCTGTGCTGCGCTCTGCTATGCTATGCTATGCTATGTTGCGCAATGCTATGCTGGGCTAGGCTAGGCCATGCTATGCTCTGGTCTGCTCTGCTATGCTGCGCTATGATATGATGTGCCATGCTATGCTGTGCTATGCTATGCTGCGCAATGCTATGCTGGGCTAGGCTAGGCCATGCTATGCTATGATATGCTATGCTGCGCTATGCTATGCTGCGCTATGCTATGCTATGCTGCGCTGTGCTATGCTGCGCTATGCTATGCTATACTATGCTATGATATGTTGCGCGATGCTATGCTATGCTATGCTATGCTATGCTATGCAGCGCTATGCTATGCTACGCTATGCTATGCTACCCTATGCTATGCTGTGCTCTGCTATGCTAAAGCTCAGCGAAGCTCGGATGAAGGTAAGCTAGCTAAAATAAACATGAGCTAAGATGAAGCTAAGCTAAGTTAAGATGAAATAAGCTAAGCTAAGATGAGATAAGCAACGCTAAGCTAAGGGAACGTAACTGGGGGAACCGCGGGGCGGATACTGGGGGAACCGCCCGGGGCGCGTTCCACTGCCCGGCACTTTAAGCACACCGAGTAAGAACCCTTCTAGGCAGAGCCTAGGTAGGGAAAAACACAGACACAATGAATCGCCGATTCCCCATAAAATATGGGAAAATATGGGAAGGTGGGGGGAATACACCAACCCAGAAAATATTGGGAAATGTGGGGAATCATTTCATTTCTGTCTATTTGTTTGTGTCCCAGGGCCCCTGAAAACTTACCCCTCTTTGGGGCCGCGCATGCCACATATCATACAGTAGTGAACAGTTTTCCCAGGCTGCCCTTGCATCCTTGCCCCTCTGGCGCATCCCTGGCAACGCTCGCTGGCCAGCCCCGCTCGAAGCACGTGAACGTGGCCCTCCAGGGCCTCTGCGTCCTTGCCGCGCAACCCTTGGTACACTCAGCGCGCGTGATCAGGACGTGTGACCTGTTCTGGGGTACCCTCGGGTCCCTTCCCGCCGCCCACGGTGCCCCAGCTTCGGCCTCCAAGGGGTCCTTGCGTCCTCGCCACGCGCCCTTCTGCTGCGCGTTGACTGTGCATGCGTGTGGACTGCCTCGGCGGAGGCCGGGGCGTCCTTGCGAGGGGTCTTGCGTCCTTGCTGCGCGTCTTGCGGGGTCTCGCGTCCTTGCCACGAGAGGCTCTCGGCAAACCATCGAGGGGTCCTTGCGTCCTCGCCACGCGTCCTTCTGCTGCGCGTTGACTCTCTGTATGCTACGGTGGACTGCCTCGGCGGATGGCCGGGGGGCCCGGGCCCCTCCGGGCCGCCAGGGGGCCCCGCTCCCCGCGACGCTTTTGTCAGGCCCCTCCGGGGCTCCCTCCACGGGCCCAGGGGGCCGCCCGAGCAGCGACGAGGGGTGGGGAGCTGGTCCCTGCAGGGGAGGAGGAGGAGGAGGAGGAGGAAGAAGAAGAAGAAGAATGCTCAGACACAGAATAAGAACCATGGGGATGAGACTAATATTTAGAAGAAGAGCAAAAATAATAAGAAAACGATGGAGAAAAACAATACTTGTATGAAGAGGAGGAGGAGGAGGAGGAGGAGGAGGAGGAGGAGGGCTCTGGGGGCCTGCTTCCCTCGAGGCCCTGGTTCAAGAAGGGCCGCCGCGAGGGCGCGAAGGCGTTCTTCGCGGCACGCGGTTCGCGATTCCTCGGCCTCGTCCTCTTCGTCCTCTTCGGCCTCGGCCTCGGCCCCCTCGCCCTCCTCGTCCGCCTCGGCCTCGTTCCCCTCGCCCTCCTCGTCCCCTCGCCCGCCTCGGCCTCGTCCTCCTCGCCCTCCTCGCCCTCCTCGTCCTCCTCGCCCTCCTCGCCCTCCTCGCCCTCCTCGCCCTCCTCGCCCTCCTCTTCCCCCGGGGGAGCGGCGCATGAGCGCGAAGTACTTCGCACTTCGGGGGGGGCGGCGCGAGAGCGCGAAGTAATTCGCGCTTCGCGCAGCGCGAGGCGCGAGCATAGCCGCCCCTGTTCTGCGACCATTTGCGAGCCCCACCCCTGCGGGTCCAATCGACGCGAAGGTCTCGGGCACCGCCGCTGGGGCCCACCTGGCTGCAGACGTCCCTCGGATCTTGAGTGCCAGCTGCACTCTCAGAAGTCTCGGCTGCAGGGACAGGTTCGCGGGTGGTTGCCTACCCTGACTCCCTTCTTGACGAACGAACAACACACACACACCCATACCCATAGGGAGGTCGTTGGGAGGAGGACCGGCTATGGGCATGGGTGCGGGCTGTCGGACCCTGGGAAACGCTCCCGCTCGAGCGGGAAGCCCCATCCGACAGCACGCACCCACAGCCCTCTCAGATGCCCCCATGGGTATGGTGTGTGTTGGGGAGGAGGAGGAGGAGGAGGAGGAGGAGGAGGAGGAGGAGGAGGTGTCGGTTCGTCACTTCTGCCCGAGGAGGTCGCGAAGCTGCAGCTGGCCCCGCCGGCCTCCGCGCTACTCCCGCGGCCGGGCGGGGTCGCGCCGACCCCCGCGCGCGCCCCGCCGCCCGAGCGCTGACGGCGCCTCGCGCCGCGGCCGCAGGCCTGCATGGGGAGAGGCAGCTTTGAGTAGGAGATCGACTACAGAATTCCTCCTCCTCCTCCTCCTCCTCCTCCTCCTCCTGCTTCTCCTCCTCCTGCTGCTCCTCCTCCTCCTCCTCCTCCGCCTCCTCCTCCGCCTCCTCCTCCTCCTCCTCCTCGTGAGCCGATTACAGCGCGGAAGGCTTGTGGCCGTTGTGGGCCCCGGAGGGCCACCATCGGGAGCCCCAGGGCCGCGGGGAGACGCCTCGGGACGGGAAACTTATCCTTGGCATCGCTCGGACGTGTGCATTTTTTCCTTCGGCGGGGACAATCGAGGAGCATCCTTGATCATTTGGCGAGAAAGCCACGCACGAAACCATAGAAAAAACATAGGGAATGGACGTCCGAGCGATGGCGAGAATTTGATTTGCCCCAAAATTGGCGTCCCCGTCGAATCTCGAACAAACTTTTACGCAGAGGATTCATAGTTTTGCGAAGGGTCTACAGATGTTCCGTGGGTTCGACAAGGAAAATCAGTTATGGAGTCAATCAGTTCTGCAGTCGATCCCCTACTCGACAGCTCGCCGCTGGCCCAGGGATCCGAGAGGCTCCGGAAACAGCTGGGCGGGCGGTTCTTGCCGCCGCTTCCGTCGGAGGGCCCCAAAGCGGGGGGGGGGGACCACACCGTGCGTCAGAGGAGGAAAAGGTACCCATACCTCTACACCCTCGCCCGTTGTCCCCTTTTGGGGCCTCTTCGGAGGCCCTCAACGCCACCGCTGGATTCGCCTCGAAGTCCTGGTCAGAACGCGCCCTGGGAGAGATCCAGGGAGTAGCGGGATCGGTACCTTTGGGTTTCCCCAATGCGGTGAGTCGGTGGGGATTCGCGGTCACCGCACGGGGGACTCGGGTCGTTCTCTCTCCGAGGATGTCTCGGGCGGCAGGGGCCTCCAGGGTCCCAAAAGCGTGTGGTGACGGTCCGTGCGGTGAGGTCTTGGGGGATCTCGAGGTCACCGCACGGTCTGACACCGCACCGTTTCGGGACTCCAAGTTTCGGCCTCCGCGGTCAAACATCGACTCGAGGAGACAAGTTTGCCCCAGGGAAGCGCTCCAGACCTTTCGAGCTCCACGCGGCGGGAAGAGCGGAGCGACGGATCTCTTGCGGGAGGGGGGGAGCGCCGTGACGCTCGATGCGGCCACGGCGTGGCTGCAGATGTGGCCAGGCCACGGGGCGCGCACAGACAGCCCCCCTGGGGGTGGCCCCGGCCTGCCTCGGCAGGCCCCCCGAGCAGCCCGGGGGGCGGACTCGGCACCCCAGCGCCGCTCCCCGCGGCGGCTTTCGGGGCGCGCTCCGCGACCCACAAGGCCGAGGTGCCGAGGCCGCCCCGGAGGGCACGCTCCCGCGCTGCGCTCGCCTTCGGCCCGGATCTACGCGGCGCCGCGGCGCCACCGCTCCGTTCCTGGTCGGACCGCGGCCCCCCCCGGCGTGATGGGAGTGTCCGTCCGTCCGTCCGTCCGTCGGGGGGCCTCGTAAAGCCAGCGTCGTGTTCCTCGTCCTCCTCCTCCTCCTCCTCCTCCTCCTCCTCCTCCTCCTCCTCCTCCTCCTCCTCCTCCTCCTCCTCCTCCTCTCCTCCTATGAATGATTGGCCTGTTTTCCGCCACCACCGCCATCAGATGGAGTGGGGAAGGAGAAGGAGGTGGAGGAGGAGGAGGAGGAGGGCGAGGGGGAGGAGGAGGACCCCCTCCCCCTCCTACTTCTGGTGGTGGCGGTGGAGAGCGAGCCAACCAGTGGCAGCCAGCGCTGCTCGGGGGACCTGTTGAGGCCAGCCAGGACTGCTGGAGCGGGGGCTGCCCGTGCGCCAGCCGCAGCCCGAACCCCTCAGGTACCCCTCGGTCGTTGAAGGCGGGCATTCCTGGATTTACCAGTTTGAAACATATCCCTCTCCCTATGTTTGATATCATCTTACTGATCTTGAGGATTCCCTCAGTTTCTGAGGGCCTGTCCCTAGGATTGTCCTCGCTTTTTGCTCGCCCATCTTAGAGATAGGGGTACGTTCGAGGCTGGTTATGGATGCCCAGATCCCAATACGGTGGGGGTGGACAGAACTCCCAACAGTGACACGTCGATTAGTGAGTTGTCCGTTTTCGGTTCTCAAGATGGCGCCGCGGCCGTTGTTTTCCAGGTTTGTGCCTCGGGTCGTTTTTTACTAAACCACGTTTTACTAAACGGAGGTTTGTTCATCCCCGAAATACGGTGGGGGCGCTGGTTAAGGAATGTGCCCACGAGGCTCCAGACCCTGGAGGAATCCTTACCTGATGAGGGCGGCGGTGATATCCATGGCCAAGCCTCGATTGGAGTTCCACTGGCCCCCAGACCCTGGGTTCCTTATCTGAGGGTTCTTTCTCCAATGCCCTCGCCGTAGGTATTTCTGGATTCCCAGATTCCAATACATCTTAGGCGCCTTCCTACTTCAATGATCCAGTGGCGTCACCCTTCCCGTCCTCTTTAGGGGGCGGGCGGACACCCAAATCTATGCTCAACGCATTCCTACTTCATGTTTCTATATACTTATTCCGACCGGTGGGTATGGGTTCTTCTGCGCAGACGTCAGGACTCAGAATTCGGCCGCACTCCAAGAATTTGTCGCGGATACTCCACGGCGTCGCGTTGCTTGCAGTCTGTTAGTTGCCCGCCACAGTCGTGTGGGCGTGCGAGGTTCTTTCTTGAGGCTCCGCAGGATCGAGTGGCAAGCTCTCTCGTGAAGCGGCCGCTGTCAGACCTCTGATGGAGTGTTAAACAGGCTGGGCAGAGCAGCCTCACGTGCATGCCATAATCGACAGGGTGTTGCAGCGACCCAGCTTCAACCAACGTGCTAGTACGCCTGTCAGACAGGCATTCGCTCTGAACCATGGCGCTGCTGTCTTCAGTCTCCTTTTTTGGGTGCCACATGCCGCAGTCAACTCTGCGCCATGCGACGATTTGCATGCGGAATCCACGCGCTCGACGTAGCCAGAGCGCAGGGTGAATAAAAGGATTGTGCAGCATAGAGAGCTACAACCAGGTTTAGCCTGGAGGGTTGGCTTGGATAGCCACAGGTTCGGTTGGGGTGGGGCAGAGGATTGGCCGAGACAGTTCTTCGATTGGTTGTTTTTTCTCGGTCATCCCAGACCCGCGGCGTCGTACTATTTGCGCAGCGTGGCCCTCGGATCCTCAATCTCTTCCCAGGGGCCAGTTTCTCATCCCGAGTTGTTGACCGACGATCTTGGTACCCATCGAGAGCCCCTGGGGAGACGAACACAGCTATAGAAATGCTTGTCGTGATGTGTTTAACGACGCGGAGGGGGTTTGGATCCATGTTCTCCCTCTTGGGTGCAAGACCGCAGCGCCATTTCCAAATAAGATAATGCAAAACTATTCATTTCGTTCCCACTGCATCGCCTTTGCCAACTGAGCGACCGGAGACCGTTCGATAGCGCGGGCATTCGCGCGCAAGTTGCCCGCGTAAGGTCGCACATGAGCGTCTTCGTTTCCAATGACGTGCTCCGAGCTGGCGACCCGCGTAAGTTGCGGCGCAAGATTGCCATGCCATCTTGCGTAGTTCCCGTTTCATTTCGTCGCTTAGATATCAGTCTGTGGCAGATGAGAATTCGACAGTGCAGCAGGCGCGAGCCGAGGGTCGTCCCCATGCAGCCCCGCTGGAGGAGATCGGCGCGAGGCATGCGTCGTTGTAAGTCTTGGGGGCCGAGCATGTGTCGGCCCCGTGGGGAGATCACCAGCTCCTGGGAGATGCTTTCGGCTCCAGAGCGCCAGCGTCGTCGTCGCCGTCGCCGTCGTGTCGTCCCCCCACTTCAGGATCGGCGGCACCGGCCGTGAGGCCGTCGCAACAAGAGCTTGCCACTGTTCAGGGCTGGCCAGGAGGGAAGGGGAACGCTGTGGGGCCCTTCTGCCTCGCAATTTGCGCACCATCATCATCATCATCATCATCATCATCATCATCATCATCATCATCATCATCATCATCTGCATTATAGGCATCATCATCATCCTCATTCACATCGTCATGATCGTCAGCAGTATCATCACCATTATCAGCATCATCGTCATCATCTGCATCAGCATCATCATTATCATCATCAGCATCAACATCATCATCGCCTGCATCATAATCAGCATTATCATCACCATCATCATCATCATCATCAGCATCATCATAATCTTCATCATCGTCTGCATCATCCGCTTCACGCTGTTCCTCAGCACCCCCCTCCACCTACGTTCATCTGATTTCTCCATTTCCTATTTCATCGCATTTGCATTCATAATCTTCGTCGCGCCGCGCCAAGGTTTCGGGTTGAGTCAGCTCACATGGGAAACCCTAAAAGGGACACGAATGCCTCCGCGGCGAAGCTAGAGAAAAGCCCAAAATACAAGGCCAACTAAACGCCTTGATATTTCCTATGTTCCTCTCTCGCTTTCCTGGGCTCAAGCCGCCACTGCAGATCCCCCCGCACTTAAACCCTTTCGTAAAGCCGCCACAAAAGGATTATCTTTGTGGAGGCTGTTACAACATGTTTTTAATTGCCGGGCGTTTCCATGAGAGGGACGCAGAAGAGTTGGGGGAACGATGAGAAGGATATCAAGAAGATCGTGAAGAATCCAAGGGTGAATCACCATATCAAGCATTACCAATGCTTAAAGAACAAGGAAGCGTTGGTTGTAACCGCACAAACGAAGGGTCCTACGGGTGCGACCCTGTGTTTGCATGGGTATAACAAGGCACAGTTGATGGATCCCCTTCTGACTTATTATGCATCTCCATCATCGGCTGGCACGTCGATTGTGAACTGATTGCAAGAGGGGGAGGAGGGATATGGAGAAATCCCGAATGTATCATCATTGCATTCGCATTGTTTTCCGATTGTATCCCGCTGTGGAGGCCACTGCGGATCCCCCAAGTAGAATATTCTCACCGCAGCCTTTACACAGGGATTCCTATTTTGGCGGCCTTGCAAAAGGGTTTCCTTTGTTGGGGGATCTGCAGTGGCGGCACCTTGGGCCCAGGAAAGCTAGACAAGAAAACCGGGAAAGCAGGGAAAACAAGAAAACGTTTTCGTTTTCACATGGAACAACAGGAAAGAGCTAGGAAGACCGGTGCCTGTTGGTACTTTTATGGTGCAGACGTTCCACAATTCAAATCATTGTGTGGCAGCCTTTGCAAAAGGATTCATTTTGTGGGACCTTGCACAAGGATTTAAAGTGACACTTAGTACCCTTTTGGAATTGAATCCTATTGTAGTGGCCTGAAAGGGTTTACATTGTGGGGGGATCCGCAGTGGCGGCACCTTGAGCCCAGGAAGGCTAAAGAGGAAACCATGAGAAAAACACGATCAGGACAACACTTGTGTTTTCATCGGGAACAACAGGAAAAAGCTAGAAAGACGTGTGACTGTCGGTGCTCTTATGGTGCAGACGTTCCATAATTAAACCCTGTGTTGTAGCAGCCTTCAAATAAGGATTCCTCTTGTGGCGACCGTACACAAGGATTTCCAGTGAGGGGGATCTGCAGTGGCCTCCACACTTTAAATCCTTGTGTAGCAGCCTTTACAGAGGGAAGCGCTGTTTCGAGCTAGCTCGATTCCGTTGGTAGGGATTTACAAATTGAGTTTGGCTGCGGTTTTCATTGCAGTGTGTTAAACATTGAATTTCCCCACGGAGTTTTCAATTTGGTATTACTTGTGATGCATTCTAGTGACGGTGCCGCGGGACTGCGGCAACTTCCATGAAAACATGAAAACAAGAAAAGCACTAACAACACATACGATTTCACATGAAAAATATACAACATAGGAACACATGTGACGGTCGCAATTTCATTTGTTCAATGAAAAGCGTTGACGAGCACATGTTTTCCTTATTTGTTCGCGATCCCCAAGCACGTTTAGCTTTTCATGGTGTTTGCTATTTTTTCTTGTTTTCCTGTAGAGCCTTTCTGGCTCACGACGCCGCGAGGCTGTGGAAGCTTACCAGGAAAACAGGAAACACCGGAACAAACTATTAAACAGTGTGTGTTTTCACATGGGATGACAGGAGAACTTAGGAAGCATTGTCACTGTCTCGATGCTTCGAGGCTTTACCATCAAAAGCGCTGACAGTCACAGGTTTTCCTTAGTTTGTTTTGTGCTTCCTGTTGAACATCCAAGTTTTCATGTTTTCTTGTTTTCCTGCTAAGATTTCGCGGCTCCACGGCGGTGCCTCTCCAAATCTCGCAGAAACGAAAGCAATGTATAAATGGATTACACATTGATTTCGTTTGTGCTGATTTGCGAAAGTGAGGCAATCCAAGTGCACAGCACTCGCAGCTCGTAGCACCAGATGATTACCATGTTGTAGGGTTCCCCTGATTTGCGAGAGAGAGAGAGGGCCCCACAGCGTTCCTTTCTCCCAGCAGGGGGGTGATGACTGGGGGGGGATATCATGGCGTTGGCCATGAGATCTTCGCAGGTTTCATGGCGCCTCTTCCTACATGTTCCATTACGGTCCCTTGCCCCCCCCCGCTGGGCCGCGGACGTGTCGCTGGCCATGATCTCCGCTCCCCCCCCCTCTTGGACGCCCCCCTCTCGGCCGCCCCCGAGCCGCTGTGGCCCCGGCGTGCCGCAAGCCGTCCCCTCAGGAGGGAACGAAACACACAGACACGATGAATCGTCGACTCCCAGGAAAATATGGGGAAATATGGGAAGTGGTGTGGGAGACAAAAACCCCCACATATATATATATATATATATATATATGAAAAGGCGGGGAATCATGCTATTCGTGTGTATTTATTTGTGTGTCCCAGGGCCCCCTCATCCCCGCGCAGCCCCGCCGCAGGAGATCGGTGCGAAGCACGCGGCGCTGCAGGGCCTGGTGGCCGAGCACGCCTCGGCCGAGGCGGAGGCGACCCTCCCGCGAGCGGCGCCGGGGGCCCGGCCTCGCCCCGCGGGCGCCTTTTGTCGATTCCTCCTCCTCCTCCTCCCTCCTCCTCCTCCTCATCCGCCCTCCTCCTCCTCCTCCTCCTC